CTTAATATTACACATTTGATACATTCTCTGTGAATTTGAGTGTCTGAACACTTCTGCATTTCTGTTTCTCAAAAGCTCTGCTTGAACTGTTAAAGATCCATAAAAAAAATGTAGAGAATAAAAAAAGTGGAGAGATTTTCCTTTGGGTGGTTCAAGGATTTCTCATGTACCCTGGTGAAAAAAAAGTGGTGTGGAAAGTGGATTTATAGCTCTTTTTTTGCTCGGTTTATGAACTGCTATACTCAGCCAGCTGTTTTGAGACACATTCTGTTAATTTCTGTATACAATACTGACTTCAACAAAGCGGTAGAGTTCATACTGAGATTTGTGTAATTCAAGACTCTTAGTATAAATATCACATGACGTGAGTGTATGGTTATTGTCATAGCACATTGTTTCAAAGAATATTCCAGTGTTCCGTCTTGATGGAAATATATTCAAGTCAAATAAATAAAACAGAAAATTATGTATGGTTAATTTACAACTTCAACTGGAGAGAATAAACTTACAGTATTACTATCACAAGGGTAAATACACGTTATGTCTTGTGTGATTTTCACTTTGCGGGGATGAAATGCCTCGGTTTTGTCCTCCCCTCAGGGCTGGTTAATTGTTGTTATCGAGTTGCGTTAGTGCCAGCTGCAACAGGAATTACATCAAAAATAAATAAATGCTCATAGTCCGTAAAAGATTTGCCGGTCCGTCCGCACTACCTTAACAGGATGCCGAACAACAATTCCTCACTTTGTTTGACTTCATTTAGTATTGTGCAGCTTTCTTCCCAACAGATAGATTAAATTGCTGCGAGTGTTGCCATTTTTCCCAGCCTTTATAAAACAGGCCTTTATTTGGTCAGTCCCATTGTTTTCATCTTGAGTGAGTGCCATTGCGGAGCGTTTTAAATGATACACTTTGCTTAAGAAGTGGTTCATACAGACGCACTGCTCATAGGACAAATCCAAGCAATAGGCTGCTTTAATTGGTGTATTTGAGCAAGTTTTAGGCAGGTTTCTGTCTCACTTTCACTCCATTTCGCCCCTTTGAAGTCTGTCTTTTATCTCACTGCTCTCCCCTGATGTTGCTTGTCTTTTGTCTGATGATGTGCACACATTTCTCTTTTGCAGCACTTAATATATAACAAAGGCAAACCTTTAGAGAGCTACCTTATCTTTGTGTTCTCTCGCTCTCCTCACCTCCTTTCAAGACTGCTTCGGAGTTTGATTCAACATTAATTGACATTTTCTCAAACACACTACCTCTCTCTGTCTCTCTTATGGGCGCGGAGACATATTTAATATGTCAGCTTCAGTGGAGACGACGGACTTACCGTGCTTCAGATTTAACAATAAAACAACTCAAGTGTAGATACGGTGCCTCTGTAATGGGCAGAAGCACTGGTGCTCTGCTCGGCTGTACGATAAAAGCCTAAAGCCCGAAGATTGTTCAGCATTAACTGTCTGGCAAGTTGTACAGTGGTAAATTTAGCAACAGGTCATGAAGCTCAGATATACAACATAGACAGCTCAAGGGATGAGCCTGACCCTCAAAATGCTGCTTGACTGTTCTTATCGTCAATGCAGGGTTAACTGCTTGAGGTTTACAGGGGTTCAAATGGCTCTCACTATTGCATTTCTAGGCTGGGATACAATTTGTGTGAACCTCCCACTCCGGTGAGTCACACTTGTGCATCTTAAAGATCATTGCAGAACGGAGAGAGAAGAGGGAACGAGATGAAGGAGAGGAAGACGTACTAGGAATGTGGAGCCGGTGTGACTCTGTGCTGGTGTGAAGCCTGTTGACTGAAGAGAGTGTGGGAAAAAATGATTGCTCTCTCCATCATTAATCTGAAAAGTACTTCAGTGCCCCCGTCCTGTTGTCTCCTTGAGTACTTGTAGATTGATAAGCCTTAACACTGAAAGAAAAAGTGGACTAATGCTATCCAAATGTAAATTGGACATGTTATGACACTACATCTTCAGGTCAAAGAATCACTGAATCTCTAAAAAGCATACTGTAAATTACATTTACTGTCACGGTAAGGTATTGTAACATATAAATGAGCTGCTGGAGTTTTTACAGTAGCCTACTGGAAAACACGGTAATTACAAAATAAACGAACAGTGTCGTTCTCTGAATTTCTGTGGTGAAATTGGCCATTAAATGACTGTGATTAGCACAGTTGAGCTGTATAATTATGATGACTAGCAGTGATTACAGTAATCTCTTGTATTTTTTACAGATTAGCTGTAATAGTGTGACTTCCACAGGCAGAATAAATGATGCTGTTGCCTTTTTACTGCTTGCTGTTGTTGTTTTTGGTGGTCACTTTTAGCAGCTTGTTTTGTAATGTTCTGGGTTTATTTATTTTTTATATGAAAATTAATTGTTTGTCACCATTGTCATATTTTGTATGCTGAGTGTCAATATGTGTATATGTTTTCAAGACTGCTAATTTAAAGAGAGAAAAAAACTTGCACTGCAAGATGCACTTATATTTTAAAAGCATATTTGGCAGCTCTTCTAAACTATTGTGGAGGACTTGATAGTCCAAATTTGATAACATCATCTGTTCTCCAGATTTATCATAGTGTCAGCAAATGGATTCATTAAATACTTTTGCACAAACTGGAAGAGACTTTACAACTTGAATCCCCAACCAAACTGAACACTAACCTCCATAATCCTTAAACAATTATTATCAATAAAACAACAGCCTTAAATAGAACCAGAGAAATCTCTTTTACCATCATGCATCTGCAACACACAGCACATTGGAGTTTTATTAGTGTGCGTTGTTGCTTTGGAGCAAAGCCATGCTCTTGCCATTGTTAGCACATTCTCTAACAATTGAGCCAGAGGAAAAGTCATGTTAAACTCTTCCAATAAGTCCCTATACTTGCCTAAGCATACCAAATTAAATTTTTCATAATAATCATAATTAATTAATAATAATAATAATTTATGCATTTAGCAGACGCTTTTATCCAAAGCGACTTACAGTGCATTCAGGCTATACATTTTTTACCAGTATGTATTCATGCAGTGGCTAATGGGTTTTCCCCCATTGTGGGATCCTACAAAGAAAGGAAATCTCCTTATTTTTGTTTTTATAAAGTAATTTATTGTGTTATGAGAGAAAACAGCCTGATTTGTCTGAAAAAAAAAATTCTAAACATAATTTTATTTTAAATAAATAAATACATTGATTTGATTTGACTCCCATCAGTTCTTTAACCTCTATCTCACCCCTGAGGTTCAGTGTTAGTCCTCCATTAGTCACACACATTTTACATGCCATTGCTGGAAATTCTACAATTAACTTTCAAGGCCGGACAGCAGCTGGAAGAATTCATTTCATAATATAATAACACATTGTAATTTGAGAATGTAGGTTGTTATTGTTATATTTAATGTGTTATTTGTTATAATGCAGTTTAGCTTTCTAGTTTGTCACATCACTTTCTAGCTCTAGTTCAAGGCCATATGTTTGCCGGGGTGACTCTCACTTTGAAGAAAAATGTTTAAAGCTCACTGTCCAAATCTGCTGGTGAATTTATCTGATTTGGGGTTAATACCCACCTTTCGTCCTCTGAACAGCGCTTCCTCATTCATAAGTTTGCCTCAACTAAGCTGTAAGAGGAATCAATAATTCAATAGCACTGGCGTCCGAGTCCGGCCCAAGCCCTCTTTGTTAAAACAGTATTAATTAATAGGCCAAAACATTGTATCTGACCAGACAGGTTATTCACGATAGGAGATGTCATTTGCTATTGATCAAATTCTCAAGAGAACCGCTTTAGATGTTCTTTAGATATTGAGATATGTATGTATATGTATGTATATACATACACAATTACGTATTCAGTTGTTATTTAACAAAAGGATTTCATATGAAAATATTTATTCCATTATCCCCCCCTCTTGTTTTCTTTTTTCTAAAGTGTTATTATCTGACTGTTCACTGCAGAAGAAGCTCGTATGAAGCTCAGTCTCCGAGCGTTTCAATCATCCAGAGCTGAAAAAGGTCCGTGCGATTTTATGATCAACGTTTTCCCTTAATAAATAAATATGTATTTGCATAGTCATGCATATAATTGATTTTCGGCAACACGTTATAATAACATTCATTACTAATAACAAACGTTGTATAATGCATAATACAAACAAAGACACAAAACAGAAACGGGCCGATTATTACATCGTATAATTTCAGACATTAAATTATAAGAGCAATTCTAAACGTGCGCATGAAGGATTCTGTTCCAACGCTTCCATCACATGCACCAACATAGCAGAAAGAAAAATTAAATAATACGAACTACGTAAATACCATGACACAGATGCTACAATCTTTTTTTTTTTTACATTTATTGTATGAATCGAAAACACGGTTGAGGTGAGCTCACGTTTCACAGTCATGATAAAATCATAGATATCATAATAATGAGTGCCCGCAGTCGATGTCCTTTTATAACCCTTATAAAACATGAACATTACATTGAGAGATGCACATGGTTGTAGACACTGAGAAAGAGATAAAGGAACAAGAACGAAAAGAAATAGCAAAGAAAATCCAGAATGCTCCCACAATGCCTTGATGAAGCATAAAACAAGCCAAAATCATTTTGTCGGTATTAACATAGGTATTTTACACGTGCCCGTACCATATCAATATTAGTGCGTTACCTGAATTAGATTTTTACACCGAGAATAAAAGCCTAATATGAAGTGTGCATCTGACGGAGACTCTCCGTTGAATCATTTCCTGATATCGGATTATATTCACAATACACTCATTAATAAGCAAAGGAACGATAATCGTTTCGTTTAGTGCTCATTTATTTTGTTTCAGAACTCAAGAGCATAAACTTGAACTGAAATCGTGTTTTATCCGTGTTTAACACTGGAGTTTGCATGTTTGGCAACAAAAGTGATTTCTGTAATATTTCACAAATATCCACAGAGAAACTTTGTTTCAAATAAAACGAGGCCAGCCTCTTTATTTTCATTAATTACTAATAACGTATTAAAGCAGAAATGTTCGCGTTGTCACACAAACAGCCGAACAATCGTCCCAGCTGCTTTATATCATCAGATTCAGATTCAGCTTCTTGTCTTCTGCAAAAGTTCAACTTTTTTTATTTTCTCGTAGTTCAACATTTTGTGGAGTTGTCCCTCCATCCGCGAAAATATCCACGTAAAGTTTGTCCACTTCACAGTTTGTGTTCTCATAAATAGCCTCTCCTTTTTCTCTCGCGTGTCCTTCACGAGGAAACATAAATAATGCGCTTTTCTGTCGCGCGCGATGCTCAGTGACGTCACAGCCCCAGCGCCGCCGCGTGCTTTTTCGCCTTCAGTCTCAGATCCGCGATGCTTGAGTTTTTGTTGGTGCTTTTTGCCGCCGCTGCCGCCGCCACCACCGAGGCGGATTCCGCCGCGAGCGTCGCCAGGGGCAAACCGAACGGCGGGGCGGGAAACATCATGTAGGGCGCGTGCGCCGCCAGGTGTGAGTGCAGGTGATGGTGCGCGTGGGCTACGGCGCTGTCCAGCTGCAGCTGCGCCTGCACCTGAAAGGAGAAGGGCGGCACGTTGCAATGACTATCCTATGGACGCACGGGTGGGAAGAGAGGGGGAGACACACATTAACTTAAGAGAGACTATATGCAGAGCCGTTACTGGGCACTGGATCAATTGCATTTATCATCATAAAAAATGCATTCGGACACCTGCATTCCACTGTGCTGGCAACTATATAAAAACTCATCTATGCATATTCTTCGTCAAGATCTCTCAGTTATGGTGACATTGCAATTACAAAAAGGAGGGAAATCTGAGTGTGTGATTCACAGAAATAGAAATAGGACGCCTCTGCATTGGGCTTCTCGGTGTAACTTGCCTGCTGGAATGGCATGCGCAGAGCTCCCACGTTGACATATGGAGCGACACGACACGCTTCGAACTGACTCGCCGCTCCGATGAGAACTCCTGCAAAATGTTGACATTGACTTGTTATCTGTATGTCTAATTGCTATCATATTTCACAGTAAATACAAATAAACAGATCAAATGAACTTGACTACACCGTAGTGCAACGTATATATATTTTTTTTTATACTGTATGTTGCAACTGTCCCGTCTAAATCCGATCATCTAACAACAAAAACAATACATAAGGTTTTAATAAAACAGCAAGCCAGAATAAATAAACGAATAACACAATGTTGCAACTGTCCCGTCTAAATCCGATCATCTAACAACAAAAACAATACATACGGTTTTAATAAAACAGCAAGCCAGAATAAATAAACGAATAACACAATAGCAATTCCTAATTTATTTAGTGCAATCTAAGCATTCAAATGCATGTGAAGCGTTTAAATCCAACGCACCTTTATGCAACTGATTTTCCTGCTTTCTGCATTTGGCCCGTCGGTTCTGAAACCAAACCTGAAAACACAAGACACTTATTGACAGCTGTTGGAGAGCGAATGTGTAAATCCTCCCAAAATGACAACAGTCTCAGCAAAACTGTGTAGCTATCCCTGAGGACCTCTAAAATATTCATAATGCGTAACCGCACATTTGAATTATTATATCTCTATACGAGCGGGGAATTGACGTAAAAAGCGGCCAACTATAACCACAAAACAAACAGATTTATTCAAATGTTAAACAATCTTAAACTCGTGCATCTGAAAAAAGTGCCATAATATCGTCTTTCTCTAATGGTTTAATCCGAGTCCCAGAACAAGCAAAGCGATCCTCTGATAGCAAAAAACCCAGCATGGGACTATATATGCCTGGACTTTAATAGCAGGCTACAATGAAGACATGAATTGCGTACATCAGAAAGAAAGTCTGTGTTACACAGCCTATATGGGCATTAGAGATTAAGAAATGATTGTGTCTCATGCATCTGTTTTGAATCGCGCACAGTTCCAGTGCACTGTTTATTCGTTTTGATCGACACTGCATTTGCATGATATTTCTGCTGTAAGTGAAAGTGGAACCGCGATAATAAATATATGATAATAAATCCCGATACGTTACGACTTCATCCGTTTAAATGGCAGTGCTGGTCTTTGAGCCAGCGGTGTGGCCTTGTCTGTGAATACTGAATATGAAAAGAGCATCAGATCTTTATTTGGGTAAAAATGATAGATAATTTATGTAAATCCGCAGGCCTTGCTTGGGACAATGCCCTTTGGTAAGATCCCAAAGAGAGACGATGGTTTCACTTTTTTCCAGGGAGGTCTTTTGAGCCCATTTTTAAAAGGACCAATGTATTCAAAGAGTGAATTTTATATCCCCACCCAAGGAATGAATAGATACAAGTGAATGAAATAAGATATTGTTCTTCTTCTTCTGATCAATCACACCAGAGCCAATGTCTATGTTGAATGTCATTATTCGGCTCAGTCGCTCGTCTCTTGTTACACATATATTGAGCCTTATTATGTTTCTGTGCAGATGGTCTTCCCCATCTTAGAAAGCACACTACAGATGTTGCCTGCAGGCCAATGCGCACAAATCAGGGAATCATTTGTGTTCGTTGTTTTGTTCATTATAGCTCAGCGGCGTTGATTTAAGCGGCTTAATATCACTCTTTTCGACAATATCATCCCACCATTCAACACATACGCTGATATCTAATTTTATTTACCACGCTGAGGTAGGCTATGCATGTAAATATGCACATATAACACTAATAATAACGACGTTATTCGGTGCTGGAGACTTTGTGTTGAGGCTATCTACAAGGAGTGTCCATGCACAATTTGTAGCCTACTCTTGTTATTAATCGATTTTATTTCAAATGCATTTACATTTTTAATCTCTCATTACTTAGAAATTATTTCGGAGACTCTACATTGCTAATGTTACTGTGTCAATAATTTAACGAACTTATTAGCAGGCTACGCGTTCATGTTGCACTTAGCAGAATTACATAATAATGACACGTTAATTATATATACAATCGCCTATATATAGCAACAATAATTACTGTGCACTTAATATGTAATTGCATACAGCCTCTAACGTTCAACATTAGCTAGCATTAATGGAAAGTGTTTCTCCTCTCGCAAGGGAAACCACAATGCACACAGCATCCAGCACACATGTAGACAGCACATGCATGCCTGACCTGTACCCTGGCCTCCGACAGCCCGAGTCTCTGGCTCAGCTCCTCTCTCATAAAGGCGTCTGGATAGTGCGTTTCATCGAACAGTCTCTCCAGCTCATTCAGCTGCTCAAGGGTAAAGTTAGTCCGACTCCTTCTCTGCTTGATTTTAGTCTGTGTCTCATCCTCCAGCGGCTTACAGTCCTCTTTGCGTTCTTTCATATCTGTGTTACCTGAAAACGGAGCAGAAATCAGGAATGAACGCTTCGTCCAGTGATGAGAAAGGAGGGCAGTGTGTGCCCACTGATGTCGGTCACGGATGTTTTGTCCTACACAGAGCTCTTTAATTATTTACACGCTATACATATGCATGGAGAGTCTCTCTGAACCGGATGCTTATGGCAGGAATATTATCCTATTGCACGTGCAATTAACAGCCTGGCAAATCGGCTGGATGTTACGAAAATGAAACCAATAAAGACAACAATGAACGAATCTGAATGAAAATCCCTGCTGTCAAAATAACAATTAACCTGCATTACAAACAACGTGTTCACAATTAGATGTTTAGAAAAATAATAGATCAATCCAATCGAAATGATCCGCATGTTAACATTATTATTATTTTTATTATTATGATTGTTATACCTACTGTTCTCGTGATAGGGTATTATTTTAAATCTCAGATTTCAAATAGCTAATTGAAATATAGGCCTTCAGCGTGTCTCGTGCATAAAAGGCGTTTGGATTTATAACCCACTGGCACATTCTTTGTTTGTTTTCTACATGATTTTTTACTGTTTATCAAAAGCCTATAAACGCCTTAATGTATAGCCTATATATATATATATACATACGGGTAGCCTACATATTTTATTTTATGAGTCTGTTATCTCATGCATAATCTTTAAATCTTGCAAACGTCTTAACCTCTGGCTACGAAGTTTCACAACTAACATTTAAAAAAAAAAAAAATAAAAAAAAATATATATATATATATAGGCCCGCATGAAACTACTATCCAACAAAAATACAGCCGCAATGTTACAGCGCTCGATTTTATCACTTGTTAACTTTTGATTTATTCTTTAGGTTTGTTTTAAGGCTGCTTCAGTCATATTATGACAGTGATGACTGTCAAATAACTATATGATTATCACGTTTCGTGTAGCCTGAACGAAATTAATGTGACTTTCAAATAAAACAGAACATATCGAAATCGAAGAAGTTCTAAAACTTATAGTAGCCTATAGAAAGTAAATAAGTAGGCCTTTGAAGAACAAATAGCGTGATGAAATCATTTTTAAACATGTCCCGCAGGATAAACGCTAGAGAAACGAAGGAAACACTCACCGTCTGTGAGTTTGGGGCTGATCGAGTCCCTGGTTCTCTCTGAGGCGAGCATTTCCGCTTCTCTGGCCGGCGATGAGCGCACGCCGCCCCGCGTGATGCTGCTCAGCTCCTCGCGAACCGGTTCCAGCGACAGACTCTCCCTGTTTCTCGCCGAGCCGGTCTCCAGCACCTCCCGGTACGTGATCACTTCCTTCTTTTCCTTCACCTTCTGATCAAAAGATTTAGAGACAAACGCGGTAAGTTCTTCCATCACTGCGCCCAAGAAGAAGAAAAAAATCAATCTTCTCTTTAGATCCCCAGCAGTCTACCATAAGACATCAACAGCGTTCTCGTTCTATCGGCCTGAATGCGAGGTGATGTGACGAGATCTTTGACAATTCCTCTTGTTGCGGAGTGTGAGCACTTGCTGCCGATTCACTACTGAAGTCACACTATTTATACTTGGCGAAGCGTCTGCCCCTTGATCCGCACGCGTTACCACGAGCCCCCTTCTCATAGAGGCGGGCTGGGCTGGGATGGGGTGGGGTGGGGGAACCTTATCTGTCCTTCAGATCCACATCACCCTTCCGTGCTCGCTATTGGCCAAGATTGACAAGAGGAGCAAATGAATGTCATTAAGCTAGACTGGTTAGAGTTTGGAAACACCAGGGTTCATGATGATGATGATGATGAAGGTGGTGTTGGAAAGCTCTGCTGGGACGAGGCCAAAACTGAAAAGGGCACGCCATGGACACTGTTTGATCTGAGCTGGAAAATGAGAGAGCGTGATAGAAGAGCAAAGAGAAGGGGGAAAGAAAAAAGATGCACTTTGTGATCGTGGAAGTGACACATAACAGCATCATTAAGAATTTCATTTTGACCCACAGTTCTTCTGTAGACGAGAAATAAAATGTAATCTTCTCAGAAAACAGCTGTGAGGCTTGTTTTATTGCGGGCTAATTAGGCTATAAACAGTCTGTTTTATACAGTAGCCTATATATTTAATGCAATGATATTAGAGTGTGTTTTCCATAAAAGCGTCGTTTCAAAATGAAGAACATCTTGAATCGAAATTATTTAAAGAGAATCTAAATCAAAACACCCAATCTGAACAATTTAGTCAAAGTGTATTGGTATTATAACAGCCATAAAAATAGCTTCGTAGTAAAGCAATAATAAAATGGGCTAAACGTGCACTAACACGTGTTGTTTTCATTCAAAATGTCTTACAGCATGAAATAAATATTCACTATTTAAAAAAAAAAATAATATTTCAACACTTAAGGGACATCTGTTTCTATTATTAGCAACTGCAGCCTGATGACTTGCAATATTTAAAAAATCTTGAATTAAAATGATTGCTATTTAATTACACAAACTTAGTAAAATTATTACGTAGGCCTATTTGCATAATATGGTTAATTAGCCGGCAAAGTAAATACGTGCATTTGGGCATCGACAGCGAATTAAAAATAAAAATAAAAATAAAAAATGAACAAATCCTACTACACAGCAAGAATATTAGATCGGCGGTAGAAGACAAAACTAGACGTCTTCTAGAATATCGATAAATTACAAAACACACCTTCTCATCATCTCAGCGCTAATAATTAGTCTACATCACAATGCAATATGTATCTTATATGTCTCTCTTATAGCCTATTAATATAGACTATAGTGATTCTTCAAGCACACGCATGTATTATTCGAAACGCTGCCAAAATGTATTATTCTAAGACCTAACTAAGCATTTCCATCTCAAACGCGAATATTAATAATAATAATAATAATAATAATCTTCCTAAAACATCCCCCCCCGCCGACTACA